GACATCTGATTTTTTTTCTTTTTACGATCCTGTAATTTCTTAATTCGGGGTAGACTCAGGACGACTGAATGGAGTTGTGTGTTTAATAGCCAGATACCCTTCCTGATCCTATGTGGAAACTCAGCAACAGTTATTTTCTCTTTGCACTCTGAGAGAGAAACATCTACTGCTACTAGTATTAAACTCTTAACTTTCACCACTAGGCCACTACGCCACTCCTAGAAAGACATCTGATAAGCTTTAAAAATGCCCCAAATTTATCTTTAGGAAAACTGACTAAAATATCCAGCCACTTCTTTTAAGGTTAGAATAAAGAAGAAGCTCGACCATGAAATTTCAGCCTTCTTGATACTTTCAACAGCATTTACATTAGGACAGTTCTGCAGACCTGTCTCTAATCTTAATTTCAAGGAATTATAACATTGAACAGAATATTGTACTGACTATCCCACATCTTCCACCATCTGTGGGGCTGAAGCTTTTACTGTATGTGGAGAGCAGGGAGAAACTTCACTAGAGATAGAAGATCCAAGGAGAATCCAGACTTAGCTGAAAGTCCGTAACTCTGAGAAAATATTCTAGATATTCTAGAATACAGCATATGGCCCTGCATGCTCCACAACCCAGCACAATATTCTTCTTTTGCTCTTCAATCTTGAAAGACAATCAGTGGCTCTCTCAAGGTTAACTGTAGTTGGCAACGTGAGAGGGAAAGTGCACATTAACATATGGCGTTTTCTATCCTTTGGTTGGAGAGGCAAGGATGTTAATAGTTAGGCAATAGCTGAAATATTTCTCACATCTAGCTAATAGGGGGAAAGAGTTCCCAAACTGAGATTGCGTCTCAAGTCCAAGGCTCATGATTTTTTTTAAAAAAATGGGCAAGTTCACATCTGTTACGCTTGACTAAATCTGGATTGCTGGAATGCTGCCTGCCTGCCTGAATTCTTCCGTGCGTTTTCACTTAAGATCTTGAGACTGCTATATATTAGCTGCTCTCTTTACTGCCTGTTAGCGGTGGAAAAGTGCCAGAAAGACAGCGCGTAGCTGGAGCTTCGAGCCAGGCAGGCACCATTCAACAGGAAGGAGCGCCTGGGGGCAAATTGTGGAGCATTTCCACAGAGAGGGGTACATTACCTCATCAAGGCCTGATGTGCTGAACCGTTAAGGAGAGTTGAAAAGAACAACCTGTCAAGGAGGAAACCTTCAGAGAGAATTCCAACAGAAGCAAACAGCTTTTAAGGTTTTTCATGGGCCAAGGTTTCTAGAACCAACAACCATTTGTTGTTATTATTTGTTATATTTATATCCAAGCTTTCCTTGAAAAGCACAAAATGACCCATACACCTACTTCTAATTTTATCTCCCCCAAACCCTATGAGATTAGTTAGGCTGACAGAGAGAAGAAGAAAAAATAGCATAAAGCCACACAATAAATGTTCGTGACCAAAGGGAGAACTGCATTTGTCTTTCTTCAGTAGCAAGCTAACTTCTTAACCAGTATGTTACACTGGCTGTTCTAGACACTTTGCTCCCTGTGGTCAATTACATACAGTTTATGATAATCCAATTGACTACATTTATTTGTTTGTTTATTTGTTTGCTTGTTTTTCACACTTCTTAACCACCCATGTTCCTCAGGGCAGTGTACAATTTAATCAATAAGGATTTACATAGGACATTTAATCTACTGTATTGTAGAACAGTGTATTATATATTTTCATAATGTTTTCTCAACCACTTCAATATAGTCCATAATGCACTGGACACCACTCTTTATTACTCTCCTTTAATCTCTGTGTCTACAGGAGATGTTCATCATCCAAGATCAATAGTGAAATGGGTGAGATCAGAACTATAAATATTTGATACTCACCCACATACCAACAATATATTCCTCTGTTCATTTGCCAGTACCCAGCCACATGGAAAGCATGTCATCCTACTCACCTTTTCCTTCATCTTCTCAATCTTCTTAACAGAGCTGCGGCGCTGAGGCCTATCTTCATGCCGCAGCAAGTTCACACTGATGTCTCCTGCTTTGTTGAACTGCTTCTCTTCCTGCTTCTCAGCTTCCTTTAGCTTGCTCTCAGCACTGATGCTCTCAGCATGGTACATGTGATAGGTCTTCATCACCTAAGATGAGGAAAGAACAACCTTTGGCACATGGAATGTGTCTTTCATTCAAAAGTTAATGGAGATGTATTAATTGTGGCTAGCTAATACAGTAAGTGCTCCAAATCTGTGGTGGTATAAGAAATAAAGAGACCCCAGAATTTTTTTAATACTATGATTAAGATTTAATAAATGCATTATGGGGCCCTTAAAGGGACCCTATTTTTCCCATATAGATTATGTAGATGTTTTTTTGGGTGTATGTGTATGAAAGAGAGAGTGAGGGAGAACTTTTTAAAAATTACCTATATGTTTTTAACTTCAGATGTGTATCAAATAAATATGGTCAAAGATTTCAATCAAATTCTAAATCCCTTGTTAGTCTGGAATACTGCTCAACCTGAACCTAACTCTCATACATGAAAAATACTGCAAACTTTTACACTGGGTTTTAATTTGGTGGATGTGGTGAATTTTAAAACTTTCACAACAGAAACATGTCTTTTCTTCACTTCCACATCAAAGTAGTTCTTAACTAGATTTTTTTCCTGCTATCTTGAATATTACTTGGATGAATTAATAAATATTATTCATCATTAACATATGTACTGTACAGTGGTGTGTGTGTGTGAATTATTGATTACTATAAAAAACAATCCCATTCTTTTATAAGACATTTAAATATATTATTCACAAAGGATCTTTTTCTAAAATAGATAAACAACTGGAAGACCATTTTCCCTTATAAATAGACATTCTGTGAATTGCTTACTTGTTTGAATATATACAGCTAACTGCTTCTGTTTATAGGAAGTAAATTCATAAAATTAAACAAGAAATGTGGGCAAAATGTTAAGAAATTTTTAGTATACATGCAAGGCAACGTACATCAGAATTATATGCTTTTATGAATATTAAACAGGAACTTAATTCTCTTTTATACTTGAAACGGAATAGCCACAAAAAGCAAAGATTTAGCAAGTGAGATCAAAGACATGGTAAATTACTAACCATTATCTCTACTATTAAAGACATCAAGGATAAAGTATTTAACTATTCTGACTCAATAAATCAGCTTTTAAAAAAATACCTTTGATTTTGTAATACTGAGTTCAATATAATCGAGTAAAATTAATCATTTTCATAGAAAACAGCACTTCTGAAGATTTCATATGAACAAGTGGTTAAAAGAAATTATAGATATTGTAAAATCTATAAAAACAAGAAAAGTCCTGATCCAAATTGTTATCCCATTTAGTAGCATAATAATGTTTCTTTGTCCCACTATTATTAAAGGTTTAGCATTATAAATTTTTTAAATAACATTTTTCATCCTTCTTCAGTGAAGCTTCCATAACTGATCTTTTTAAGACAAATAAGGATCCAGCTGTCTGTGCAATCTATTCTTTTGTTGTTGTTAAATGCTAATGTGCAAATATTGATTGCAATCCTGACATGTGGACTGCAGAGATTATTATCTTCAGTCATTTCTCTTGCAAAATCTGGTTTTATCAAAGGTCATGGCCAAGTATACTGACCCTTATTCACATGATAAATTTGCATTCTCTGATAAGCCTAGTTTGAAACTGCAGGAGAATAATTTAGAAAGGTAGGTGGTAGGCAAGGAGCAATATTAATACTGTAAATCAGTTTAGTGCCTACCATCAACCTTTTTCTAAACTGTTTTATATAAACAATTAAAAAGTATCAATGTGCCTTTTCACAGGTTGCATTTGAATTGTTCTTGCCCAAGCAGGACAGATGAATAAGGAACAGGTTTCGTCTTTTAAAATATGCCATTTATTGCTCCACAGATGAACAGACAGTGCTTAAATTTCACAAACCTAAAAGCTTAATCCTATTTTTATAACTAATTTAATCAACATACCAGGTATTTTCCTATAAGCCTGCTACCTTATTTACAGAGATTTCAATGTTTCTCTTAGCATAATGGACTGAATTTAAATATTATGTAATCTCTGCTTTTATTTCTGATTCTGCTGCTTTAATTCTGGGAAATATCTTTTTAATCTTTTCTCTCATTTTCACAGTACTCTTTACATAGTCTTAGCCTATTCATTCATGCTATGGAAGACCAATTTCTCCTGAACATTATATATGGGTGAGTCACTTGGAAGTATCGTTCACCTCAATTTATCTCAGACTGTAGACTGATTCTCTTTTCCTTGCACATAGCTCTCGGCTGCCTCTGCCTATTTGTGTCAGTCCCATAATAATTCAGCTCTCGTCCTTGCTGTCCAATGTTGTTTTCTTCTTGGACAAGTCTTCTTTAGACAAACTGATACACTTTATCTCCTTCTCTAACACGCTCCACTCTCCAGCAGTGTCAGCAAGTCAGCAATACACATGCATACCCTCCAGCCTTCCTTGCCTCTAACTTAACAACTAAAAAGTAGATGGAGGATATACAGAGTTTCCTGTTTCTGTCTAAATAGCTGTAAATGTATTGTCTAGGAAAATGTGTATCTTCTCAAGCTTTGTTACCTTTCAAACACGTAACACAAATACAAAGATTGCACTTTTACAATCTACTATAGCTCCCCTCTGTACACATATGGGAAGAAGAAATTCACCCTCTTCTACATGGATATTTGCTATTTGTAAGAACTCCAAGACGTGTGGCTCAGTGGCTAAGACACTGAGCTTGTCGATCAGAAAGGTCGGCAGTTCGGCGGTTCGAATCCCTAGTGCCGCGTAACTAAGTGAGCCTGTTACTTGTCCCAGATTCTGCCAACCTAGCAGTTCGAAAGCATGTAAAATGCAAGTAGAAAAATAGGAACCACCTTTGGTGAGAAGGTAACAGCGTTCCGTGAGTCTTCGGTGTTTATTCATGCCAGCCACATGACCACGGAGATGTCTTTAGACAGCGCTGGCTCTTTGGCTTTGAAACATAGATGAGTACTGCCCCCTATAGTCGGGAACAACTAGCACATATGTGCGAGGGGAACCTTTACTTTACTTTACTTAAGAACTCCGGAATAAAAAGTTATTAACAAATGCATGGCTCACAGGTTTAAGGAATATTATATTTATTTATTTTACAGGTTTTGTGTGCAATGCCAGGTCTTGATGATGCACAATCAGTACAAATGAGAAAAGAAGATGTAAGATTAGTCTAGACATTCAGACTCTAGTAACATCCACATTAGTCAACTGTGTGATACACTTTATGTAAAATTGACTTGGTCAACCAGAAACTTCCCTTTAAAAAATGGCACTCATCAAGTTATTAATTGAGACTGTACTGGCTATGTAATTTCACTATTATAGGGAACATGGCATCATCTTCCCTGGCTGCTATCCAAAGTCAGTTGAAAGTAATAGATTTAATCTTTAAAGCCTCAGAAGAGCATTAAGTTATCCATGATCCTCAGAATACATATGATTCTTGAATCCATTATTTTGGAGTAAAGATAGGGAGTAATTAATCTTCCCAAAATGTTTTTTTCTCAAATTGAATTAGAAACTACAATAAATTGAGGCATAATTTCCTATTATTTTTTTCAGCAAAGTTTGTAAGGCTCATTAGCCTTTTCAAATACTTTAACAAGTTTTATTTTCAAAACAACAGCAGCGGTAGCAAGATGCCTAATTAATGTATTCCACACAGTAGACAAGACAATTGGGAATACAATAAAATTAAAAAAAGAATACAAATGGTGACCATTTTAAATAACTCCACACAAATTTTGCAAATGCATTTTTTTAATGTTGAAGTAGCTTTTGGCAGAATCCTTCACTAAAAAAATAATCCAAAACAGGACATCTTTGGCTTAAAGCACCTCATGTTATGTAACTATCTACTCACTTGTCAACTGGAATTCAATCAATGTTCTAAAAGGCTTGGCTGGATGTGCCTTAGCTAACATTTGGACTCTGCTCTGGGGTATTTTCATTTTAGATTAGACCAGTGTTTCTGAATCTTGTCAACTTGAAAATGTATGGGCTTCAACTCACAGAACTCTCCAGCTAGAGAAAGATGGCTGGGAAATTTTGGGAGTCAAAGTCCACATATTTTCAAGCTGACAAGAAACACTGGATTAGAAAGTTGATTTAAATTATAATCTATTACATTATTGCAGTGTCTTATAAAGTAAGAACATACATTAGTGTTCTCCAATCCACACAATTATTACTTTCCTGCAAGAGCTATAAGTATAGTTTTAATACCCATTATCTATTTTTAAGAAGATACTGCTTTTTGTCTCACTTGGTGTGCATTCCCATGAGTTCTCTACAATAAATATGAACATCAACTAGAGGGGTGAAATCAACTTACCTTCACTACCAGTTCGCAAATGTGAGAGCACATGCTACCTCCGCGCATGCACAAGACCTTCAATTTCCGATGATCAGCTGTGAAATCACACGTCACGGCTGATCGTCGGAAATACCGGTTCACCCAAACTGGTAGTAAGAAAAATATTACTGTATTGCTACTAAGTACCAGAACATTAGAAAGGCTACAATGGAAACAGAATTGGCCCAATGAGAAAAACCTTCTAGAAAAATAAACCCAAAAAATAAGATAAAATCACCACTCCCATCTTTTACTGTAATAGATGATGCAATTTCACACTGATCCACGAATCATATTTAAGAGAATCTGTTTTAAGGATTGAAATTCAATTCTGGTGTAAATAGCATCCTTTTCCCTGATGCATCCTAATTACTTGAAATACATCTGGAAATTTTCAAAAATGATCATACTAACTGCATTAGTAGACCACACACACACACACGTTTATACACATACATGTCATCATGTATATTTATTCCTAAATGTTATGACATAAGTCCCAGGGTAAAATTACTCACAGTGTAGAGTTCATTCGTAACCTTCAAGAGTTCTTCATGCATCTGAAGACCAATTTCCTTACTCTGCAACACAAAATGAAAACAGAAAGCTGAATATATGGTAAGTTCCCAAGATCTGCTGTAAAGAAAAAAACCTGAATAAACATGCACTTTCAAAATTCTTGAAGCTGCAGATAGACAAGGATTAGCTTTCATCCTATCAAAAAGTGATCCTTAACCAGCCATGTAAATGTCCACAGGTTATAGCAGCGATGGGAAATAATTTTCCCAAGGAGTCATATGAGAAACTGGACTTGTTGTGGAGGGATGCCACATCACCCCCACAGATACCCAATTCCATCATGTATCCCTACCTGAAGAAAAAAGGAGAACATTTGCATGAGCTCTTAAAGTGCAAGCAGATAGAAAAAGGCCTCTTCCTGTTATCTCTGTTCAAATACTTAGTTTGCAACTGCTGTTCAGTGGCCAAGGAAATACCATACAGATACCATACCCAAAATTTCAATATTTATTATGGATGGTATTTCAACTCCCCACCCCCACCCCCACGTTAAACTGTTTAAGAAATGTTCTTTCCCTCCCCTTTTTTGTGAGTGCCGTTAACCCATGCCATGAGCACATTGCTCACATGTACACCTAGGCATGTGACTTTTAATGAAGAAAAGTGGAAAGCCAACATAAAAAAACAAAAAAAACCCCACCTGTCCTTTCTCTTTCCCACTCATATTTAAGTCCTTTGTTGTTGATAGCTTTTACATGAAGAAGCCACAGGAAAAACAGGGAAATGGAGAACCCAGAGTGGGATGGAGCCCATTAAATGGCTCATGTGATCTGCAGTCACTGGTGTCTGTGTGATTTTATTATATTAATTTATCTGATTCATTTATTAGTTTTATTGTTTTTTAATATGGTTTTAAATTATGTAAGCCACCTTGAGTCACAATGGGAGAATAGGCGGCAATATAAATTTATTTATTTATTTATTTAATCAATCAATGAATCAATCAATCAATCAATCAATCAATCAATCAATCAATCTGGTCTCCACCCTGAAATTCTCAATGCTTGGACTAGGACACGATGAAGGGAAAGATCATGGACTAAGAAAGGCTTTTGTGCTTTTTGTGCTTTTGTGCTTTCCACCAAGCAGTTCAGCTTGTTAATTGCAGCATGTTAATTCATATGAAACAGAGTTATTAGGGGAGGGGGGGGGGTAAATAATTTAATGTCTAGTCCTTTTTCATATTTTTCACAGGAATCTACAAATCTTTTCTTGGCTGGAAACAAAATAGAACAGACTTATGATAATTCAGGATTACAACAGTGGGAGGCACTATCTTTCCTAAAGATTACCTTTGGAACTATTCACAATCATCTTTTTCTGGATAATTCATTATAGATTTTCTAACAATGGCAAATACCATACAAGTACTATAAGCCACATTTTCGCCACATAAGCATATGTGCATATGTTTATCCATGCCAAGAGCCCCCCCCTTCTGTCATAAAAAACCTGAATCTAAAATCCATGAGAGAAATATGGCTTGCTAATAAGTAAGATAAGTGACCTGTCACTACTCCAGATATAAGATGTTACCAAGTCACTACTCCAAAACAATGTGAGCATTACAATAAATGGAATAAGGATGCTATAAATGAAAACTATCACCATTTGCATGGTCACACATATCTATCCCTGTCACTGAATATATGCTTTGGAGAAAAAAGGTCCCTCAATTTACAGGAAAAGTATCAATGCCTAGTCAAAATGAATGGTTTAATCAAGCCAGTCATTTATTCATTTTTTTTGTCATTTGTCATCATTCACTCGGCTATTGAAAATAAATACAATGCTTGGGGGGAGAGCCAACTTCGCGACAATACGGATGTGTGGTCTCGATGCTCCAAGACCGCAGCCTATACTTTTGCCACTGGGTGGTCCAATCGGTCCTAAACTGTCCCGCAGAGATGGTGAACAGGAAGAATATGTCTTGCTGATCTCAGGGACATCACAAAGTCCCTGATGGATCCAAGAGAAGT